TGGCGTCATTACAGAAATAGCTGAAAAAGACCAGTTTTTTATAAATGGTTTACTACACCAGAGTATTAACCACGACTTGACCAGTGCTAAAAAAAATTTCTTGAAATAAAATCTCATTCTATAAACTCAGTCAGACAACTAGTTTGACAAGCAGTTTCTGCAGGTAGAAGAACGAAGGTAATAAAGGCTGCTTCGGTACAAACTACTAAAAGACTAAGTAATTTAAGGCGATCTCGATCAAGAACTAGTGCAACATTTTAAACTTAAAAAACTTGATAATCAAAAATCTTTAATTATCAAAAGAGTTCAGTGATGACCTTGGTGATAGTTAGGAAGAGCAATTGAAGCGTTTTTCGGCAAATAAATTAAGCGAAGCTTGATGACGAGACAGATGAGATAGAGATGAACTCCACAATACATATTAGAATTCTTTTCACGCAACTCGATGAACGATATGTTAAACAGCAAGCAATGTCTGTTCACTAGCTTTATCAAGGTGGTCTAAAAAAACAATTTCTAAAAAATAAGTTTTTCTCTTTTCGCAAGAAGTCTTCGCCTCTTTCCAAACTTTAGAAAATGTTATTAATTAGTGACCAGTAACTCAGAATTTTTGAGAACACCGATAAACCAAATTTGAAATTATTCTGCTTATAATTCAACGCTTTTTTCTGACGTAGCTTGTAATCCAGAAAGGTCAGTGATGACTTACCATAAGAATTGAAAGAGTGTTCAGAATAAATCTATATTTATTTTTCTATAAAACATTCAGCAGTCAAGAGAGGCATATGAAAATTAAAAATTTGCAACGTAGAGCAGTCAATTTAGTAGGTGCACTGTTTTAGAAGTTATTTTAGAGAACTTCCAACAGACAATGATTGAAATAATTACTAAAAACAAAAGACTGTAGTTTTGAGAGTTTCTTGACTTCTCCATCTATTAAATGCTAGAATACAAACTGTTCAAATTTTATAAGCTAATTTTTTTTTGAACGTCATAGTAACATGAAGAGCAGTTAAACAAACTTCGCTTCAAAAAAATAATTTTTACAATTTTCTTATCACTGCAAAAACTGTAGAGCTTTTTTTGTACAATACATTTCTTTGAAAAAAAACGCTGATAAAGTCAAAAAATGTTTCAAAAAACTAAACCGCAGACTTCTTTTCAACTACTGACAAAGCGTTTTCTTGCGTGTTATGATCGATTTCAACGAGCAAAAACCGGAAGCAGAATATTTCGTTTTTGACAGCTTCCTAATTGCTCGACCAGCTGCATAATAAATGTAAATTATTTGACCGTTAAAGTCAAATTTCTCAGATATTTTTATAGTAGTTAGAACAGTTAAGTAATTTCTGTTTTCAAAATAAATTTTTCCAACTTGCTTATCAAAGCATAAGCTATGCAGGTTATTTCAAAATTACATTACTTTAAAAAAGAGTACCGAGGAAATAATAAAATTACAACAACAGATATGAACATTTAAGTGTTGTCTATAGCTGTATATTCCACATTTCGACGACAGCTCACAGGGAATTATTTGTTGCTTTTCAACGCCATTTTAAAGGTTTGATGATCTGTTAGTTTTCTTCGAGAATTTCACAAAACCTTAACTGTTTTCTCATCGTTTCTACTCCTTTTTTTTTATTTTCATTTTATGTCGTCTGTAACTTAATTCTTTTACGAATAAAGATTTTTAGGCGCGCTATAAGGTGCTTATTATTACTTAGCAAAAGAGAAGAAAGAAATAAAATGTCAACTGTGTTAAAGCATTTAGCTAAAGCTTTTTTTACACTAAATATTCAAATAAACGACAGAAATTATAAATCTTTCTAAAATAAACAATACTGTTTAATAAACTGAATTATTCTTTCAAAGAAGAAGCAAATTTAGAAACAAAAAAGGCTCAATTTTATATTTAGACATTTACAAGTAACATTTTTCAAGGTTCTCCAACTGCTTACACCTTTTTTTTTTCATTCAGTTTTGATTAAAAGCTTTCCTTTTTTTATGTCAATATGTTTACACTAACTTTTTTAGAACTCTGTTTATAAGCTGTAATTGTTAACTTTTCAAGGAAATTTGTAGACAACTTTTTAGACTTTAAGAATATATAAACAATTAGTTTCTTAGCAGCTCATGTAATACATAAGTATTTTAAGATATATATTTATTATTGCGAACACACAAAGAACACTTGGAATATTTATTTCGTTATCTGTATTCTGTATGTCATTTGGCAATTTCACTAAATTTACAGAATAGTCGTTTGAAGAACTGAGCAAATTAATTTGATTGGTAAAAAAAATATTTTTAGGGACAAAATTTACAGAAAAAAAATGAAAAAGTAAGATGTACGTTTCGATTCAAGATATTGTTTTTTTGATTTTCTCAAACCACGCGCATAGCTTATGATATATAGATTCTTGTGACAATAATAGCTTTTGGTCGTATGCATTTGGTTTTGAATATTTAAATGAAGATTTCTACACTTATTTATTTTTACAAGTGTTTGCTGCAAAAAATCCAATAGTTGAGAAATATTGTTGTTTCTGCTTAAGTGGTTGTTTTGAAACACCATAAAACTTTGTATTCTTTAATTTTCAGTAATTCAATTTTTTTCTGACTCTCGAATTAAATTTCGAAAGCCA